AGCTAGACAATATTGTGGATTAGATAACAAAAAAACTATTGGGAATGAGATAGAAAAGTCTGGGGAATACTGGGGATGGGCTAGAAAATATTGGAAATGAACTAGAAAATATTAGGGATGAGGTGGAAAATATTAGGGTTGATCTAGAAAATAATGGGGATGAGCTAGAAAATATAAGGGTTGGTGTAGACAATACTGAGGATGAGCTAGAAAATAGAGGGGATGGAGCTAGAAAATACTGGGAATGAGCGAGAAAATACTTGGGATGAGTTAAAAAATATAAGGGATGAGATAGAAAGTAGTGGGGATGAGATAGAATATATTAGGGATGAGCTAGAAAATATTACGGATGAGCTTAAAAGTACTTGGGGTGGGCTAGAAAATATCACGGATAAGCTAGAAAATAATAGGGATGAGCAAGAAGTTGAACATACTGGGGATGAGCTAATAATACTGGCTAGAAAATATTACGGATAAGCTAGAAAATACTGGGGAACTCTGAGAATAAGTTTAAAAATAATTACGGATTTGCTAAAAAATACTGGGGGTGAGCTAGAAAATGTTACAAATGCTAGAAAATAAAAGGGAAGGGCTAGATGGGGATGAGCTAGAAAATATTACATGTATATTGTAAGCTAAAAAATACTGGGGATGAGCTAGAAAATATTACATGTATATTGTAAGCTAAAAAATACTGGGCATGAGGTAGAAAAGATTAGGGATGAGATAGAAATTAGTGGGGATGAGATGAAAAATATTGGGGATGAGCTAGATAATTGGGGATGGACTAGAAAATACATGTATTACTATTAGTATTAGGAATGAGCTAGAAAATAACGAGGAATATTTGGGATAAGCTAGAAAATATTGGAGATGGGCTAAAAAATAAGGGTAAATTTTCGGGATCAGCTAGTAAATACTGGAGAGGATATATAGAAATGAAGAATACTGAGGATGAGCTAGAAAATAGTGGGGATGAGTTAAGTTGAGCTAGAAAATACTGGGGACGGGCAAAAAATTACTGGGGATGAACTAGAGAATAGTTGGGATGATCTACACAATTCTGGTTATGAGCTAGAAAATACTGGGGAATATTTGGAATAAGCCAGAAATTGTTGGTGATGGGCTAGAAAATACTGGCAAATTTTCGGGATTAGCTAGAAACTACTGGAGATGATCTAGAAAGGAATTCTGTGGATGGAGCTAGAAAATATAGGGGATGAGCTTGAAAATAGTGGTGACTGAGTTAGCTAATACATGTACTGGGGATTAGCTAGAAAATATTAGGGATGAGCTACAAAAAAGTCTGGGGAATATTGGGGATTAGCTAGAACATCTTGGGAATTAACTAGAAAATATTAGGGGTGAGCTAGAAATTATTTGGGATTAAGAAAATACTGTGGTTGAGCTAGAAAATGATGGGGATGCACTAGAAAATTTTAAGGTTAAGCTAATACATGTACTTAAAAGACTGGGGATGAACTAGAAAATACTGGGGATTAACTAGAAAATAGTGGGGATGATCTAGAAATTGCTGGGGATTATCTAGAAACTACCAGGGTTGAGCTAGAAAATATTTTTTACGGTGTAGCTAGAAAATGGTGATGACCTAGAAAATATTGGGGAGGGGAGGGATAAGCCAGAAAATATTGGGGAGGGATAAGCCAGAAAATATTGGGGAGGGATAAGCCAGAAAATATTGGGGAGGGGAGGGATAAGCCAGAAAATATTGGGGAGGGGAGGGATAAGCCAGAAAATATTGGGGAGG